CCTCAGCAGAGTTCGACGCGCAAGTCAATAACAACAATAACGGAGGATGGAAAAGTAATGGAGAAAAGGAGTCTGGCTGTTGGGCGACGCCACCAACGCAACGCCGCTCTTCTGCCTACGCCCGGGGAGCGGAAAGGGGGGGGGGGGCAGCTCTCTCTCCACCCAGGCGTGCGCGGGGCGGGGCGACCACGGTGGCGTAGCCACGGCGGGGCGAAAGAGACGGAACTCTTTGCACCTATGCACTCTCGGGAGTGCGAGTAGTGCGATAGGTCCGACAGAGACGACGAAACCTCGCACTACTCGCTGTCTCTCTCACTCGCATCCCCGAGTGACTCGCGTCGTCGTCGTCGTCGTCGTCCCGCCCGGTCAACTAACGCCGTCAACAGCCTCGCCTGGCCGTAAGCAAGCAATAACGGTCACGCTGAAATTCGATAACGGGGGCGTGGCGTAGCGCGGCGCCGGCGATCGGAAGTCGTTGAGCAGGGTATCGGTGCAGCGAGCGAGCTCTCGTTTGGCTGGCCGTGGAGAATCGAACGCTCCCCCGCCCGTGCCGCGCGCAGCCTTGCACCGGCCCGGCTGGGGCTCTTGGCAGCAAGCAGCCAGCAACAGCGCCATACCCTTCTGCTATGGTCCACAATGGAGCATTCGTCACAGACAGCACCGCCGTAGTAGCATGCGTTCTGCAATTTTTCATACCACTGACTGGAATCGCTCTTGCGCTGGTCAATTTATAGGGATTGGGACTGTAGCGACGGGACTGCGCCGGTACTGGTTGTGAGCAGTGGCAGAGGGACAAGGCGGAGGTTGGAGCTGCGCGTTTGGAGTCAGCACATCTCGGACCCGGACACGAGACGAAGGAAAACACCCAGCACCATCGAATTGGGCCCGAGCAGCGAGTTAACCTATATTTGCCACCGAGACGAAAACCTTTTGCCGCCGTAAAACGTTGCCGCGCGCGGAGGCCCCACCGGCCGCCAGGTGGCACGCACTGAGCACGGCAGGGACGGCTGGCTGGAGTACTCGGTCGGGCCATCGCGGCGGGGCTCCAGCCTGTCGCTGTTAAGATCACGCCGCGGGTTCGCCTCGGTCCATATCGATCCCTGCGCGGAGCTCCGAGCTGCGGTGCTTATGCCCGCTCTGGGGCAGGGCTGAAGGAGGGGGGGAGGGGGCAGAGAGTATACATCCAGGACGAGGCGACCACAGGAGGGCGTCGAGAAAGCCGCGGCAGCCATACCACCACCAGTAATGCAAAAGCAAAGAGCCACCGCCGTCCAGCGCGTCGTCTCCGCTGTTGCCGTATGGCATACTCGCAGGTGACGTGAACACGGCCGACATCGCCTTGCACTGGAGCGAAATGAGGCTGTGCTGCGCGCGGCGACGGGGAATGGGGCGGGCGACGGCGGCGGCGTTGCCAAAGTCGCGACGCGGCGGCCGGCGAGGCGCAAGGAGAGCGGCCGCGATTTGTCTTGGTGCGCAACGTCGGCAGTACGCCCCGCTGACCCCCCTCCC